TTATCGCTGAATTGCCTGGATCGGTCGGCCCCAAAAAGTTTAACAACATTCTCGCAGTCGGAAACAATAGACGAGGGACCCGAAATCAATTGGACCCCCGCCAAAAAGGCACAACACTCTCCAGCCTGGGGCGTCTGAGGGAGGTGGGCCCAGACGGGCCCCGAGGCTGTGGCCAGCAGCTCCTGGACGGGACTGTACAGGGCGACTCCCCAGGAGGCTCTGGGCAGCTCTTTAACAACTCTTCTCGAACACGAGCCGTCTACGAAAACCGCACCTTCGAACGATTCTGGCTGGGGGGGGGGGGGGGGGGGGTTGAATGCCATGTTATGTTAAGCTCATCGTCGTCCATATGCCGAGGAGGAGGGTGAAGGTCTCCAGGGCGAGGGAGAGCCCCATGGGTAACCACAAGCAACTTTTCCGACGAAGTCATGTAATCGAACAGGGAATCTAGGAGTTCCTGGCCAACCAACTCGGCACGGAGAGCTTGCAACTTCGGGCGCATCCACAAGCGGTGGAAAATCGAGTCGGCGGGCGCGCCGCATAGCTCACATTCTGCAGGAAACTGATACCCGCAGCCGCGGGCCTTCATTCGAGTCCAAATGCCGTCGCACGCGCAGCTCCTCATAATCCCTTTTTGAAGGGGAGTAAACTTGGAGGAGGCCAAGAAAGAGGAGACAACATCGTAGCAGAGGCGGCCATGTCCGAAACAGTACTTGTGCGCCAGGTAGCGCTCGAGTCTCCTGAGGACCGCAGCTCGAAGGTGTTTCCTAAGGAGGGCGGGAGAAGTGAATAACAGCTCGTGAGAGTTCCCGAGATCGTCGACCAGCCTGTTAAATTCAAGCATCTCACAACCCAGACCCACAAGGGTCATGTGCATCCCCGACCGGGGGCCCCTCGCCCCTCTCCAAGTGCGCGGGGGGCGGGCCCAGACACTACCCCGCCACTTTCGCAGCAGGGGGATCGGGAACGCGGCAGCGTGGAGGTTACTAGAGGAGGCCCAAAGCTCACGATGCCGTCTGCTGATGACGGAGACTTGAACTTGCCAGGTGGGGTCGTTTTCCAGGAGCATCAGGGCCGAAAGCGATCTACCACTACAAGAGGGCTTGATGAGGCGAGCCAGGCTGCGTCTGAGCCCGAGAACTTCCGAGGGGGAGAGCCCATGACACTCGGATCCGTACGTGGCGACAGGCAGAGGACCCGCGACCCAAAGACGGCGGAGGCGCTGCCTGCTCAAAATTCGACCGAACTTGCCCAGCCGCAGGCTTCTCGCATTCCCCTCGGCCAGTCTACGCTTAGTCCTGGCGTTTTTCCCCTGATGACGGAATGGGCCCCCCTGGGTATCGTCAACTCCTAAGTTGACCCCTGAATTTACGAGGGGTCCTGAAAGTTCGATCCCGAGGGAGTCCTGGATCTCCAAGCCGGCGGACTTGGAGCTGCAGATAAGGATGGCCTTGTCGGCCGAGAGAGTGGCTCCGATCTCTTCGGTGGCGCTCTGAAGGACTAGAGCTCCTTCAACAACTCCTGATGCAACTTCTTGGTGGGTACCCACCGCAGCAATACTACTATTGTCGATGTATAGCTTGAAATCAACGTGCGGACTCCAGGCGATCTTATCCAGAGGGCCCATACTGTTGATACGTATCATAGTGGTAGCCATACTGCAGCCAGCCACGACCCCAAACTGAGCGAAAACAGCTTCGGAGATCACCGCCTGGAGACACACATGCCTGGCCGACGCGTAGGCCGCTATGACAACTCTGCTGACTGCCAAGGGAAAATCGTGCCGGTGGCACCTCTGCTGCAACTGACCGAGGGGAAGGGTTTCGAAATACTTGACGAAGTCCCAAAGAAGATTGGCTGGCGTATGATCTCTGGCAACTTCACCCTCGGCTCGAAGCAGCTGGCGCCATGCAGTGTCCCGCAACAAAGTAGGGTCGAGCGTTCCGCTTCTCCCACTCGTTGGCAATGTGCCTTCTGGCCTTTGCCCAAACGCGGCAAGGGGCACAAAACACACCAATCGGACGGACACCCGCGGGGACCTTGGGAATAAGATACATCAAAACGACCGCAATCTGCGCGGGAAGAAGCCCAGAGGTTTCCATGACTTGAAAAATGGACAGCAAGGCGCTCAAACCTTGATCAGACAACCAACCGAAGTGTCTGATGTGGAAACCGTCAGAGGCCACCGCCGAGCGCTCTTTGTGCTGAAGGCACAGATTTCGAACCGCATCCAGCTCGAGTGGCGGCAAGGGAGGGGCAGGGGTAAACGTCGCAGGGGTAGGGGTGGGGGATGGGGTAGCTCTCCGCAGCCCTATGTACCTGGAAGTTTCGAATTGCATGATGCTTAAGGGATCACTCACCACCTTGCCGTCACAAGAAAGCGCGGTGGTAGGGGTGCCAGGGGGTGGGGGCCTTTGAAACCAGGTGAGCATTTCGCCCTCCTTGGTCAATCTTTTTTAAGAGCCAACTCCTCCATCCCTGCGAAACCTCCTGCCGAGTCCTCTTGAGGACCGAATCCAGGGCCTCGCGGACGGTGGACCGAAAAACATTGATGCCACTCTCTAATCCTTTACGGAGGGCGTCGATAGTGTCAGCGGAGCGGTGACACCAATTCAAAAACTCACGGAAGAGATGCTCGTGGCCTCCCGCGTGCTTGCTGACAGCCAGGGAGGGGGATAGCAAACCCGTAGGATATGGCGTTCGAGAGGCCGTCCTGATCGGGGTGCTGAATGGCAGACTCAAGCATGCCCGTGGCCTTCCAAAGCCATCGGATGGAGAGCAGCTCGGGGTGTCTGGAAGGCTTCGCGTCTTTCGCCACGACCGAGGACCAAACCAAAGACGGGGGGGCCCCACGGGAACCAGGGTCCTTCAGATCAACTCCCGCCGCTTCCGCAATCTCCTTTTCCGCCAGGTCCGCCCAGAGTTGGTAGGGCGAGGTGAGGAGAGATTGGGTGGCGGGGCCGTCGCCGCGATGAGCCGCCTCAAGGGCCTCCGCGATCCGCGCCTGAGTGGTATGGTAGTCAGGGGCTTCACGCAGAGGACCGATCATCCGAACGGCGGGGAACCGAGCGGGTCGCTTCAAATTGAGGGCTCTCAATTTGCCGAACTGAGGGAAGAGAGTGAGCCTGACGGGACAATGGGGCGAGATTTCCCCTATCGGAGATGCGATCCAAGGCCTGGGCAGCGGAACTTAGCCCATGACTGGCGATAAAGTAATCGTTCATCCTCATCCTTCCCGTGGTGAGGCAGGTACCCGAACAATCTGGAAACATGATAATGCCCCCAATCTGCTTGTGAAAACTCTGCTCGTGTAAATCATTCGGGGGGTTGTTGAAATCCCCACCCCGATGAGCCACGGTAAACATGAACTGGAAGCAGCCATTCCCGCGTCGGACAGGAACGTGGCCCCCGCTACGGGATGGCACAAACCTCCTGCCACCTGGTGGGAAACCCTGCTGAGAGGCCTCCAGTTCCCTTCGCCTGCCTCGGCGTGTGGCCGCCCCACACACTCACGCCGCCAGACTTAATCCACCTTCAACTGTGGCCGAGGATTGAACCAAGTTCAGCCCTTTGCCTCGCCCCACTTGTAGAAGCTGCGCAGATTGCTCATTCAACCTTTATGCCTATCAGCCAACTGTCGCTTGTTTCACTCTTGTGCCACCTCTCCTACTGTCGCAACCGCTCTTGTTAGCGCCACTCTCCTCCAGACGCCGTACTCTGAACCACCGCACTTACCGCCTGAATGTGGCAACTGTATGGCGGGTGGGTGGGTGGGAAGGAAACGTAACCCTGTGCCCACCGCCTTGACGAGTGTGGCCACGGCATGCACTCCAAGACGGGCCACACACCACGCCGCCGCAGCAACCGACGCCGTTTGTCAGCTCCGTACCTCTTGTCTTACTCCGCTGTGCAACTTCGTTCTCACTCGCCACCCTGCCGACAATCTTACCCACACCCGCCAACAACCTTGCAATCCTCCTCACCGCACCTCGCAACCGCCACCTAGAGGGAGGGGTAGGCATATACCGGGGTGGGATGAAGGGTACGAGTGTGGCCTCACTTACCGCCGCAACTGCCACTGCCACCGTCCCCCTCTCTCCTCTGCCACTCTGAAGTCTATTATTTCAGGTGCCTCCCCTCTCCTCCTCCTTCGCCTCCTCCTCCTCCTCCCCCATCCAGGGCGCTGGGGGACCTAGCTACCCCGCCCCGAGGGAGGGTCTGCTCGTCGCGCTTCTTCTTTTCACCCGAAAGAACAGTATTTTGATCAATTCCCCCGAGGGTCCACCGACCCTGGGCGAAGGGGGGGAGGGCTGCGTCAGATCGACACACTCGCCAACAGCTGTAAGCTGTAAGGCGGGGGAGGAGGTGCATGTAGACCAGCAAGTGGAGGAGAAGGAGGAGGAGGAGGAGAAGGGGAACCACGGGGAGAGAAGACGAGGGAAGAGGATAGTAGAGACAGAGACATCTGATGACGATGAGGGGGAAGAGGGGGAGGAGAAACACTACTATGGGGGTGAAGGTAGGGAGGGGGAGGAGGGGTAAGGAAAGGAGGAAGAGGCGGATTAGATGGGGGAGAGGGAGATGATGATGATGCTGCTGATGATAGTGATGAGGATCATGCTGATGAGGATTATGATGCTGATGATGACGATTAGGATTATGATGATGATGCTGCTGCTGATGATGATGCTACTGATGATGATGATGATGATGATGATGATGATGATGATGATGATGATGCTGATGATGATGATGATGCTAACGCTGATGCTGCTGATGATGATGATGATGAGGCTGTTGATGATGTTGATGATGGTGATGATGATGATGCTGATTCTTATGATGATGATGATGATGATGATGATGATGATGATGATGATGATGATAATGATAATGACGATGATGTTGCTGCTGATGATGATGGCGACGACGACGATGCTGATGATGCTGCTGATGATCATGCTGCTACTGATGAGGATGACGAGGATGATCGGCCAAGCCTCGGGGTCCTCCTCCGCGACGCCGCCCTCAACGCCCGTGTCTCTCCCGCCCGCGTCCGCCGACGCCGCCAGCAAGGACGCGATGGTGCATCCGCTGGG